CAGAGCAGGCAGCCAAGAACCGCATCCAGCACCCTAGCAACGTGCTACACTTCTTCAATGCCCCTCTGGAGGTGACTGAGGAGAACTTCTTCGAGGTGGGTGCTGTGGAGTGGGTCCCTCACCACGGCCATCTGAACGAGCCATTTATTTTAGTCTTTTTGAGGACCTACTGAGCCACAGCTCTGCCAGGCCCTGGGTTGGGCCCCGGGAATGCAGCAGGGACCAGGATAGGCTGAGAATGGTTCCGGAGCCCTGGCCGCAGTGCAGGTGGCTGTAGCGTTTGTGTTACTGATAAAGTTAGGATGGCTGCTGTTTGCTGGAAAAGGTTGCTCCGTGTCTGGGTGAGAGAGGTGATCAGAATCCAGTCTCAGAGCATCGACGGAGTCGGGCCCTTCCATGTCTTGATAACATCAGAAGGGAGGCTCCTGTTCAAGCCTCGTCAGACGAAACTGGGACACTGAGTGGGAGGAGGGCTGACTGGCAGGGTTGGACTTGAGACCTTGCTCGGGCCTGAGATGTTGCTCTTCAGTTCAGCAAACATTTGTTTAGTGCCACTACACCCAGATGGGGATTTTAAAAAGCAGTTTCTACTACAATGGTGGTAGTTAATGGTAGTAGAAACATAGAGTGGTGTTTCTGAACCTTTTTTTGGGTCATGGGCGGGGGGGGGATCCTTAGAGTATGTTCTGTGATCGAAGTTTAGAAACTCCAGAAAATGTAGTACTATTGTCTTGGGCTGCGTGAATCCTGCCATGTGGTTACTCCTGCCTCTGAATCTTTTCTGTGTCTTGCAGATCTGCGACGAGCTGGGAGTGAAACGGCCATCTTCTGTGAAAGTATTCTCAGGCAAAAGTGAGTAAACTGCCCCCGCTGCCTTTCCCCATTCCTCAGTTGTAGGTGGGTGGCCCCCTGCTTCCTGCTCAGCTCAGCCTAAAACTGACTTCGCCTTCTGATCAGGTGAACGCAGCTCCTCTGGGCTGCTGGAGTGGGAATCCAAGAGCGATGCCCTGGAGACTTTGGGCTTCCTGAATCATTACCAGATGAAAAACCCA